GACGCGGATCTGACACACATCCGATTTTCTCCCAACTCTTTACGGTCATTTAAGACGTTATAACTCATTTAAGACTACATTTACAAGGTAACTCGCCAAAACCGCCGTGCGTTGAAGCGCTACTGGTGAGCTGTCTGAAGCGGCTCAGGGTAACGTTACGTGTATATACGATTCGCTCTTGTCGCTTATGACAGAACAGCTAATCACGATGATCGTCTTCGGAAAAGATTATTTTATTTGCAGATTTTATTGTCAGAAACAGCGAATCTCTTTAAAAACTGGCTGTTGTTTTCACTTCATTGCATTGTTATAATTCGTAAAAGCCAGCAACTGGCGACTAATGCCGAGTTCACACTGCACGATTATCAAACTCGTCGGATCGCCGTTGTTTTCACACATAAGGAAATAACGCGAGAACCCGCGTGCGTCAGACCGGAATTTTCAAGCGACACTGGAATTATTAAAAAAAATATATATAGCCCGCAAATTGTCTGTGAGCTGATTTCCAGCTACAAGGACAAAAAGAAAAACAGATTGTGCAGGAGGGAGATGCAGCGATTAATGTTTCTAAAATGCTTAATATGTCATTATAAAATGCATACATACATAAAGTATGACGTATCGTGTGTACTAAAAGCAAATTACCCCTTAAAAACCGTATGTAAAAAAAAAAAAAGTAAGCTCCGCCCCTCACTTCCGGTTCTGTGGCTGCGGTTCTGTGGCTGTGGTTCTGAAATTGCTGGTGCTGCGGGTCTGCAGTTGGATACTATTGGGTCAAGCAAGTGTTTGTGCTTGTTTCTGTATGATATAATTGTTCATATATCTATTATATTGGGGTCGCTTCAACCTGCTGACATAAAAAACAACCGGCGGCAATCGCAGATTTGGCAACACTGGTCCGCAAACTACGTTTCATATAACTCCTCCCCGAACTTCCCGCTGCCCTGTATCTTGTTCTCTCATTGGCTGTAGGTCATCGCCGATGTGTTTTTCAGTCAGAACTCATTTCACACAGCGTGATTGCGAATCGCCGACAGCTCCAGATATTTAGCATGCTAAATAATTCACGGGCGTCAACGACTCCCTCAGATTGCATCTTTGATAATTCACAATGCGTGATTGTCACTCGCGTGAACGAGCACCGATTTGCCTCCGATGTCGGGCATTTGTCGGCGATTTCGCAAAACCTGTCGGCGAGTGAAAAATTGGGCTAAAATCGTGCAGTGTGAACTCGGCATAACAGTCGCCAACGCCGATTTTTACTCGTATTTGGCGCTTGGCGAGTGTAAATTTTAGGCCCTGTATACATATATTTAAAATATTATTTATATTTAAACTACTTTTATTTAAAATATGTATTATTATTTTATTAATTATTTAATTAATTTTAAAACATTTATTTATGTCTCATTTATACATAATCTGCTATTCAACTGCAATCTCTTTTGTATTCTCGGTTTCTTTTATTTGGATACATTTAGCCTAAATAAAGTCAAAAGCCAGTCAGTGTCAATCAATCAAGTCAAATAGCACAGATACACACTGCCTCTTCAAAACACACAAACAATCACAATCAGAGACAAATTAGGCCTCCTTGTTACAACCAACCACTGGTTTTCCAGCAAAACTTAACCTTTGACCTACCCTTACCAGGTCAACTAGCCCTCACAGCAAGCATTCAGCCTTCGCTGTCAATCAAGCAGTGTGTGACCCCAACTCCTCCACCCCCTTCTCTTTTGTAAAGCATTTTGTTATTTCAGGGTGTAGAAAGAAATCAGACTTCTATGGTGCAAAGTGATTAAAATCCTTGACCGAATATGCAATGTGTGATATTTGCATAGTCGTGGTTCCTGCGCTGAATGTCATGGTACATATTTTGGGTGTGTGGTATTTTATGTGTTAAGATACATTATCAAACATATAATTTTGGCTTCCGGAACACTAATATTACCCATATCAGAAATTATAAATTGCTTAATACCTGAAAAATAGTACTTTTGGGATTTGATCGCTTTGTTCATTACTTGCATACAGTTTAAGTTTAAATTCTGATTTAAACTTTAAATTGGTCATTTAAAAACGCTTTGGAGTAAACCCATGGCATTAGCTTTCTGGGTTGGCCTACATATTAACATCACGACTGAACTGCTGTGAAAGATAAGGAGCTTCATTTTTATTCAGAGAAGATATGAACATTAGCTCAAAGGTGAACTGTTTCTGCACCACTAGCGGAACCAAACAGAATTGCAAAAAATAGTGATTAATGATGACTACTAAACTAGAACAAAAAAAAAAAAAAAAAGACACTTCGCCTTTAAGAGACTCGAGTTCCGCTTCTAAACAAGAGTGAACGAAAACATTTAGCGGCAGAGGGCGCTGTTTTATAAATAATTACAAGTGGATAAACTTCTCAAATTCGAAGTTTTCTAAGTCTGCACGGTACTTTGTTAACCAAGTGCAGCCTAACTGAGGAAATTATTTTAGTATATATTTGATTCCAGGTTTCTCTCTAAAACGAAAGATTGTCGTTTCGCGTTGAGCTCACAAATGCTGCCTGGTTCGTGCAGAAAGGTTAGCGTGAATTTCCACTTCATTAGGAAAGCAAATCCTGGTTGATTTTGCATCTCGCTTCAGCTCAAACAGGATCTGGAATAACAGCCCTTGTTCTTTTGTGTTTCAAACTGAAGCTACTGAAGCACAACAACTAGAGTACACAGGTAACGTGAAAAGACCTTAAACACGTGTTTATGTGTGCATGTACAGGCCTGGATTCCTGTTTAGGAGCTTTTGTTCCAACTAGTCCAAAAATACCATGGTATTACTACGGTATGTCACTTTAGTACTATTCCAAATAAAACACATTATATCAATATTAAGTGAAAATCTGCCATTCTAATTACTGGAACTTCTTGATTTAGTTTTAAATGGAGTTAGATTTAATGAGATAATTATTAGTTTCAATTTTTTGAGGTTTAAAAGATGGTATAATGAAAATTTTGAAATATTAGTTGCATTTCTAAGTGTTTACCACATACAAGACACCATCAACAGGAAAAAAAATCGGGAGTAAATGAAGGACGAAAAATCCAGATCCCGTTTTTACCTGTTTTAATGAACCCTGATTACAGTTTTAATTACAAGAGCAAAAGAAACCACATGAGAAACTAAAGTATACATGGTTCCTTGTAACATCAAGTTTCGCCTCTCTTTACAAAGTATTACATAACCATTGAGAAAGAGATGGAAAGCTTTAAGAAAGAAGCAAAAGGAGAGACCTTGAACACAAAGAAATATTTGTCTTTTTCTTACATCATCCCCTCAAAATGGAAAATATATATTTATATATGTACACAACCAAAAAAAAAAAAAAAAAGAGACATTAAAATAAAAATGTGATAGCATAATGTCACCCTCCCTCTTCATCTGGTTTTCTTCATTACAACTAAAAACCAGCAATAATACAAAGCCAGAGCACTTTTATATCATGGTATCAAAGAGGGTACAGGAATACGCTTTATTAAAATGTTCATCTTAACAGGTTAAAATCCAGGTAAGGGATACAAACGAAATACCAGCAATAATATCAACATTAAAATGATAAATGGTAATATAAACAAAAAAGGTATAATAAAACAGCACTTTTTATATCAAATAGCGAATGAGAGGAAAACAAAGTATTTTCTAACAAATAAGGCAGCTGTCAGTTAAAATACAGATACTGAACCGGTGTAAGGCCGCCAAACAAACTCCAAAAAAGTAAAAAGAGGGGAAAAAATGAGTGTTAAGTGTGTCAGGTCCTATACTTCCTCCTTAGATCAGGGCTAAGAGGCTGAATGTCCACTTTCTAGTTGACAGTTTGGTGAAGTGAGGTCCCTTTCTCGAGGACGTCATTGACTACGAAGTCCCTGCATTTTGCTACAAATGGAGCTGGCCGTAGCCAAACGCTAAGCCAAATAGGATGTGTTACCTGTTCAATCTTGATCATCGTAGATAAAGAACAGCCTCCTACAACTAAAACACTGCAGAGAGACTGAGATGGAGAACGCAAATGTGACGGGTCGAGTTAAAACTATACGTAGACCTTATAAGGCCAAGTACAGCTGTGCCATTCGGGGTTCTCAACGATTGGTCAGTTATGTTTAACTTTGTCTATAACAACACTTTTCTTTCACAGTAAAGCACTGTAGGGCCCTGAAACTAAACATCCCCCTTACATAGATATACCATATAGATTTACCTTCTGAAATATAATTTGTATCAAAACCAGCGTTTGTTCTTTTATCAAATATATATGACTATCGTGCAATAAAGTGAGAATATATGGACTCTAAATGCAAATCTTATTTAGGATAGTTTCTTTTAAGGTACAAAACTAAATAAGGCATAAAAGCAGTGTTTGAGGTCATGTTTCTAAGGCCTCTCCTTTATGTGAGTTTGTACGTGTCGATAAAGTAACCTATTTAAAAGCACTGGGCGGTCAGGCTTCTGTAAAAAGGCACAATGTTTGTTCAGCTGAAGGCTTTATATTCAAAGACAACCTGTTGGATAGCGGAAAGGGATGTGGGGAGGTATGCCTGAGATTTACCGCCAACAAACCATGAAGATTTGCCTTCTTTACAAAACAGCAGGGTGTACAGGATTGTTTAAGTGGTTTTAGGGATGTTTACGAAGCTAAAACCATAAAGCGCCCTCTGATACGTTGCCCCAACGTTCCTATTACGTTCCCTCAGCGTTACAACTGCATTATGAAAAATAAATAAATAACATGTTGGAGAAAGAATAATCATGTGATCTATAATTTGTCATCCAGCTGGTGGTCATTAAGATGGACTAAAATATATAAAATGAATCCCCCAATGTATATACACATGTGTTAAGATACGTTAAGAGGTTGTTGAGTGGTCCCGTCAGCCGGCTGAGCTTGCTGGACAGCTGGTAAAGTTGGTGTCCGGAGCCGGGAGTGAAGGCTGATAGCACGCTAGCATTAATGGCTCTGAAGACAGAGACATGAAGGTCCTGGTTTGAGAGCGAAAGGCAAGCTGGTTCTGCAAAAAGTCTGGGACTTGAATCTTGGTATGCAAAAAACAAGAAAGAGCGTCTGTAATCGCAAAGTCTGAGAACTATGATTGAGTGGGGAGTGGGGGGTTGGCCAGCATCCTTCCTGCATTTTTCACTTCATCAAAGAGTGTCTGTTTAAAAAAGTCAATGTCCACTTGCCTGTGACCCTACATTTCAAGGGCATGAACGACAAGACCAAAAAAAAAAACTGAAAAAATTTATCACCACCATCTTTACCCAGATTTTACAGAGGTGCATCAACGTCCAGTTTAGGCACTTCTGTAATCTCTTTATTTAAAAAAAATAAAATAAATAAAAGTATTGGGTTGATCCCTAAATCCTAACAGAGAGCTTCTAGGGGCAAAAAAAGAATTCAATGAGACTAGTGGGATGATGTTAGTCTAACACAGCAAACAAAAAGGAATGGGTCTGGTAAGCAAGTGGCTCTGGCTAAACTTGAGAAAGGGGCCTGGTTACTTAAAATGCATTAAAAAGATGTCAGTATTAATCATTTTTAGTGTTGCAAAATTTTGAAGTGAGTGAACCTGCATGTACAGAAGTCTGAAAGGTGGTTTGAGCATCTGAACTTGCTGAATGGATGGTCTTCACGTAACTTTTAAGAGCAACAGTTGCCTTCAGCCCTTAAGGAGGACAGTTCTGTGTTGGTAAGTTTGTGTTTAACCACATCCTCTTCAGAAAATGTTGTTTTCTAAAGACAGTTGTGCTGTCGCTCGCTGCAGCTCAGAGCTCACCCTCCTCTGGCCCGTCCCCAGGGGTGCAGCCAAAGTGTCCGGACTCTTCCGGTCTCCATTTTCCTTCCCCAGTTTAGGCTCCACCTCCTGGGTAATTTCCTCCCTCTCTGCCCTGCTCTTCTTGTCCTCAGCCTCTTCGGTTCCCGCCTCCATTCTCTGGTCCTCACTCCAGCGCCGTTTAAAACGTAGCTTCAGAGGGATGCAGTGTGTACCCCCGGGGCTAATGGGAGCGCCCTGGCCCAGGTTTAGCTCTCGGGGTTCTGCTTTAAGACCTAAAAGATTTGCCCCAACCCCTGAGGTAGGGGCAGCTGGGGTCTTGAAGACGTCTTCCTCAAGATCATCATCATAAGTCATGCGATCGTGGTTGGGTGGAGGGGCGAGGCCACCATTGGGGTGGGGAGGGGAAAAGACATCACATTCGTCATCTTCATGCTCCTCCTCACTGATGTTAGTGACCTCAACTTCTTCCTCCGACTCCATGTCTGAGATAGGCTCAACCTACAGAAGGAAGCAAAATGAGCATTACAGAAAACCATTTTCAAAGGAGCTACAGTGTAGTCTTTTTTAAAGGTGAACATACCTTGATCTTTGGTGGACCAGCTGGGGTTGAGTTATTGGTCATCATTCCAGATGAAGCAGAGTTTGAGGATGAACCAGGCTCCCTGCTGTAAGAGAAGGAAGCAGTAGCGCTTCCAGAATTTGGAGCATGTCCTGCTCCAGCCGGGTTTGGCCCTTCTCTCTGTTTGCGACCCAGTGGTGGGGGCTGTAACTTAAACTTGAATGGAGATAGATGAGGCTCCTCAGCCTGGTGGTGCAGAGGGTGACTTGACAAGTGTGGACCTATACCCGCTGGCCCTCCCAGTCCCTTGTCTGGGCGCTGGGGCTGGGGGATGACGATGTTGGGGTAGTGCAAGAACGCACGAGGACTCAGATGATAGTTGTAGACACTCTGAGTGTGAGCCTGCAGGTAGCGCTTCATGTCTTCTGGATTGAATGAGAAGTGGGAGCCTAGCATGGGTGACAGGGATGGAGAAGGTGTGTAGGGCATGTGAGATGTAGGGGTCATGGAGAGAGCTGGAGAAAGAGCAGGAACCAGCAAGCCTCCCGGGCCTGGGAGAGGGGACAGTGGGAATGGAGACAAGGATTCAGGGTGGACCCTGTGTGGGGGCCCATGGGGCCCGCTCCTGGGGAGCCCAGTTGGGTTTGGCGGTGCACCGTAGACACGGAACAAAGAGTCGTGGGACAAGCGCGGATGGAGAAGGTTTCTGAAGGCACGGTCGGCCGGGCGGTCATCACCAGGAGCTATGCCAGTTTCCTCAAGCTCTGAGTTGGTGGAGGTGCCATCGCTGCAGTCGGAGACAGAGCCACGAGCAATGCGTCGAGGCACAGCACTGAAGACACCAGGACTGCGCAGTTCCTCGCTAGGAGAGAGGACGTCCGATGGTGTGGATGGAGGGAAGCGGAAATGAGTGCTTACACCAGATGGGACAGGCGGTGCACTTTGTGGAACACCAGAACCTATGAGAAAGGTTGAGAAATGTTAATAATTGTTTTACTTTGTACATCAAACTAAATGGGTGGGTTTGAGAAAGATTGAGTTTATGAAGCTGGGGTCTTCACCTGCAGAGCCCATGTCAATGAACGGATAGTTGACCAGCACTAGCTTGTTAAAGTTGAACTTGTAGGTGAATCTTTTCCCTTTGGTCTTGTGCAAGATCCTTTTGTTGTAGTAGTATCTGTGGAGACAGTGTTGGCATGGTTACACAATTGCCAAAGCAATAATTAGGAGTCACTATTTGTTGAAGGCCACCCATTTTTATGTATTTGACATTCTTGCACTTAAACTTTGCAAAGGCAATGACCAGTTTAGAGATTAAAAGGTTACAACAGAAGCATTGAATTTGCACATTTAATCAAATAAAAACAGTATGATCGGTTTTCAAACACATTAACATAGTTCTCTTGCAATAAGTGATGCATCAAAAATGAAAATTCTTGGCTTAAACTGAAAACTTGGGACAGAAAACCCAAATTGTTCATTTTAAATTAGCTTCTGAATACCTGTAAATTCCATAAATAATATCAATATTAATATTTAAAATTTTATTAAAAATATTAAAAGTAAACATTTTTTCTTTAGTTAGACTGGCTTTACAATAACAAAAAATAATAATTTAAACGGCAGATTATATTAAATCCAATTGACCTGGATCAGATCACATGCACACTGCTTCTTATGCTTAACAAATTTTCTTAATTTTAATTTTGTGTAGCCAAAATTGTTGTAAAGTGGTGTACACATGTGAAATGATCACATGCAGCACCTGTCAGGAAGCAAAATGTCAGACCAACTTTTCCGAAGAGAGAAAAACCAAACCCTTTTCAGTTAAAGCCTGACGAAATTACTGTATCATTAAGGAGCACTGAAGGTTATTATATATAACACACATGTTAATTTTCTCCCATACATGAAAGGATTCAACCAAACAGATTTAGATATGTGCAGAGCAGATACATGACTTCATGGCTATTTAAAGCTTTGGATGTTGAGATGATTTATGGGTTCTATGTGTTTAATTAAGACGTCACTGAGGGTGCGGAGAGTACATGTGTGAGAAGACATGATTGTGATATACAATGAATGATGTGTGAATCGGGGCACTGAAAAGTTCACAGGCACATACTCAACCAACAGAGAAAAGGGCACATACACAACACTCTTTGAAGTGCATTTGAACTTGCTTCAAAAGAGCACAAGATCTCTTAAGCGTGTCTGTATTTGCACACGCGTGTTGTGCAGACATTCACATACATGCAATACATATGCTGCTGAGTAAAACGGCTGATCCATATGACCTTTTGTTTACTTTAACTGAGCTTAACACGGACGACATCAATTATGAAAGCAACGGTCTGGTTATATGATGGTCTACAAGTGGCATCAGGTTATCAGGTAAACAGAACGAGTGTGTACATGTTATTTTGCATTGTCTGTTGGCCTGCAGTCTGGTCTGTTCATTTTCAACAGCTCAACAATGGGACGCCTGTGCAGCCTGAAGTCTGTCTGAATGGTGTTTGAAAATTAAGGGAACACGTGCAACCTCTTAGGTATGGATGAAAAGAGTGAGCAGAGAGAGAATGCCTTTTAGCCTTTCTTTCCCAAATGACTAGATTCACGCTGAATGTGAACACTTTTCAAACATTTTCCCCAAAAAAAATCTGCAGAATAGATTTACTAGTAAAATCGGTAAACTAAATTGAAAGTACTGTTATTGGTAGCTGAACAAAGCATGATGAAATTAGCCAAAAGTGTACATATTTGACCATCTCTTCAAGTTACATTTATTCATAACTCTTTTAAAATGCAATTATATACTTACAGAGTCTGATGGTATTACCATTTTTTTTAAATGTACCATGCTAATACCACAGATTTACTGATGCACCTTAAAGGGGTCATCGGATGCAAAATTCACTTTTGTTGTTGTTTGTTGTTTTGTTGTGTGTTGGAAGTGTGTGTACACATCCACCCTATAATGATAAAAATCCTTCAGTTTTTTTTTAATCCCCTTTCTCAAATCAGACTGTTCTGAGATTCCTGTCAGAGTGATGTAGTTCTGCACAGGCCACTCCCATGATAGTTGATTGACAAGGCCGTCTTACCTTCGACCCGCCCTGAGTGAGCTGTGAGCTGTCCGCCACTGTGGCGACTCCGGTGCAGGGGAAGACAAGAACATCTCTGATTAAGCGATTGAGGTGTTCTGTTGTTGGATGTAATAATGAACATAGCAGTCGTCATTTACTCCCGACATCTGAGCCGCTGAAGACGCAGAGGATTAACCTTACTTTCGTTTTGAAGGGAATGCGCCGATCCCCGATCTGCCTAAATGCGTCTTAAGTTCGCGCGAATCATTCGTGATCAGCTTCATCTACAGAAGAGAGTATAAGGGTTTTTTATGAATCTTTGCAAATCGCCTTTCCTAATATGTGCTAGTAAGGAAGTTTCGCGGCTAAAGTAAACAGTACTGCTCATCACCCCACGCAAGAGAGGGTCGGGGTCAGCAGAGCTCATTAGCATTTAAAGCAACATGGACTAGAATGGCTTGCTAAAAACAGAGCTCATTTTGACAGGGTAAAAAATTTGTTTTTTTTACACTACCATTGAGAAATTTTAACCAAAGTATGTTATAGACTTTTCATTAAGACCCTAAAGAATCATATCAACTTATATCAAATGGGCATCCGATGACCTCTTTAAAGGACCATATAAATATTAATCATTCAGTACCAATGTACCAATCATGCAAATTACCATGGTTGCCAGGGTGTTGCTAGTGTATTGTGGTTGGTTGCTAGATTGTTACTTACTGGCCAGAGACAAAAGAGGTTGCACAAACAAGTTAAACACCAAAATTTAGAACTTAGGTTAATCATTTAAAAAAAAAAAACTTAAACCCAAGTATATTTGTGATGTTTGCCTGAACAAAAATACAAAGGATGAAAGATTTGTAGAATTTCAAAAACACTATGCAATCAAACTTTTGCAGAAATCTGTTCTGTGTGGGACTAGAAATCAGCGCAAGTATAGAGCCTAGGGGTGCTCCGATTGATCGGCTACCGATCACTATCGGCCGATAATCGCTTTGGGATGATTGATCGGCGGTCTCTAAAAAGGCCGATCTCAAAAAAACGATCTCAAGCTGATGACGCGCCTGCCGTGAGAAGGTTTGGCACGACATGCAGCGGCACCGTCTCAGTCTCTGTCCGGCGTGGGTGAAATAATTATAATGCTGAAGGTGAGGTACTCGCCTTCATATTTCTTAATTAAATAACTTAGAAAGTAATTTGAAAACCTTGTGTCAGACGTAATTTCACAAACAGCGTGAGTGAATCAGCGCTCGCGCTCTCAAAATATGCAAATGTCTTCAAATCACCACA